TAATAATAATAATAATAATAATAATAATAATAATAATAATAATAATATTGCTCGGGCCAGTCGGTCTCTGTTTTGAAATCCCCTCTTCTGTTGAACAATTAATTCAAAGGGCAGGAATTCCGTTCTCTGGTCTTTTAATGTCGGATGGCCAAAAGTACCATTTTATTCGATGGGATCGTTCCCAAGTAAGCTATATGCCAGTACGTTTCCACTTCTGAGCTCGTTAGTTTGGACGTTGGCTCTGCTTCAAGTCACTGGCCTTTAGTTTTGTTCTCGAAAGGTCACCGTTACGGTGTTCCCGCATTTTAATCCAGGGGTTCTCTGTGGCCCGCATTTTAATCCAGGGGTTCTCTGTGGCCCGTTCTCTAAGCCGCTCCACACCAACGACACACACACACACACAGAGAGAGAGAGAGAGAGAGAGAGAGAGAGCGGGACTTAAAATACCGCGGTATCGATCGTCTCTGGAGGCCAGCCCAGAATGGGCTGGCTTGGTTTTGATTAACAAAGCCTTGTTTTCAAACAATTAGGCTTTTGCTGCTCTTCTTAAATGTTGCTGCTATTACTATTATCCGAATACAGATGTATAATCCAAATATAAAATCTATTGTTGTGCTTCTAAAATGGCATATTGTCGCTGCTTTTTGTAGCTGATTATCGAATAGGCTTTTATGTTTAACCCCTCTCTGCTTGTTGGACCATTTCACCTGTCTCTACCTGGATTTTCTCTTGATCATAAGTTGCTTAGAGAGGGATGGTTCTATTTTTATTTTTATTTTTTTTTAAATCACAGGTTATTACCCTAGTAGTAGATCTTTCTGACTATCACTGAGGCCGGCTCGAGTGTTTTTATTGTTAATTATCTCCGCTTTCAAAACAACAAGAACAAAAGAGACTCTCTTTCTCTCTCTCCCATTAAAAAGCAGCCATGGTATTATTTAGTGGCCAAGAGAAAAAGAGTGAATGGGCCGCCTTTCTGTAGGAGCCAGGAGGAAGAGAAAGTGACTTCCGAGGGTTTTTTGCAAAAAGAAAGGAAAGCGTACAGATGGCGCGGGGGTCTTAAGCCTTCGTTTCTATGGTGTCTGGCAAGAGGTTTCAGGCACCCAGGGAGCGAAGCTACCTGTTAATTAGATCCTGCGAGGATTCTGGGCGCAGAACGTGCTCAGCCGCTGCAGAGCCGCGCTTGCCCGCTGCTCATTAAGGAAGGAAGGAAGGAAAGAAGTCAGAGGTCCTAGCGCCGCTCTTTCGCCAGCCTCAGTGCCCGCGGTAGAGGACGGCCAAGAGGGAGGGAGTCTCGAAAAGGCTCTGCCTTGAGGGACCGGGCTTTTCCTAAAGCAAAAGAAAGAAAGAAGCCTCCTCCCGTAAGGCGGAAGGCAGGCGGCCCTCCTGAGGCCCGGGAACTTCATTAACAAGGAAACCACTTCCACTTGCAAAGCGAAACCCGCCATTGTCAGCTGATCCTGTCGTGGTTTCCTTGACACCCACGCCCAGTGGTGTATTTAACCGTTAAGCAGACTAAGCACGTGCTGAGGGCACCAGGCCCAAAGGGGGCACCACAAAGTTGAGAACATGGCTTCCTTTGTACAGTATGTACGAAGGAGGGAGGGGGGCTCCAAGATTGGTCAGTGCTTAGGGCACCAGTGAGCCTCAATCCGCCGCTGCCCACGCCGAAGCTTCGCCAAGCTGCATTTTACCCCTTTCGTGGGTACGTCTACTAAGATCATACACTCGGGTGGGAGGTTTCATACGTGGCGTTATCATGACGCCCTGACTCACAGACCGAACTCGTGATGAATTCATCCTTCACTACATCGCGCCGGCCAAGAAAATTGGGTAGGTGAAAAAAAAACCCTAAGCAAGAAAACTTGTAGGGAAGCGTGCTACGAGAACACGTTCTAAGTGGTGCAAATTGTTAATTGGAAAGAGGAAAACACGATGGATTGATTTGGCATGGCGAAGGAGGAGGTGTGACGAGGTAGAAACGGACGCACTGCGACGTACAGTGATAAGTCAAAGATATATAATATCGCTCTCTCTCTCTCTCTCTCTATTAGGGAGGCAGCAGGACTTTCTTGGTGTTTTCTTTGAAAATGTTTCACTTTCCATCCAGGAAGCTTCTTCAGTTCTTGGATAAGAAGCGAAACGTTTTCGAAGAAAACATCAAGAAAGTCCAATTGCTTTTTTGGAAAGAGGAAAAAAATACTTGGGAAAACCATGACCTGGATGATTGAGCCATGCAACGATAAGGTTTTAGAGCAAATAATCTGTAATTTGTATCCGAAATCTGATGTAAGTGTGAATCTCCAAGTAACGATAAGGTTAATATACATACATACATACATACATACATACATATACACACACACACACACACACACACACACACACACACACACACCTGCAAAGCAGAAGCCCATTTGTTCTTGCAAGCTATTCAGAAATTACAATGTAAGTTGTTTTGCTAAAGTGATCCAATGCTCCGACTGAATTTCTAAGACAGACGAACTTAAACATTGCAATTTCTTACGATGGAGAGAGACATATTATCTAAAATAACTCATTGGTGTCTTTCTAAGCGCGGGGGTGTCTGTGCTCATAGCTGGAGCCCCTTATTTTGGCAAGAAAACACCAGGGTGGCCGGACGAGCTTATCTACGGGAAATTTTGATTTGAGAATAGAATTCTTCTCTATTAATTTCCCCGACGAGAGCCATCACTCAGCAGCCTGTGCCTTCCACATTGAGAACGATACTGTATTCAAAAGACAAGGGTGTGTCTGGTGAATTTATCTATAGTTTAATTAGGTTCCCAGATTTGAGCTATTTCCCAATACCATATTGTACACGATAAAAAAAGAAAAGAAAGCTTCCGGGTATTTTTTTTTGCAGTTCAGACATAATAGCATCGCCTGTCACTGAACCAACATTCTTGGTTAATCAGTGCTGAAGTCTATTTCGCCGTCGAAATGAGCTTCCCCTCCGCCGTCTGTTTGCTAAGAAGAACGCCTTATTTGCCGCCCTCCCTCGTTGGGAAGCTGGGCGGGGAAAACGCTCGTCCTATTGGTGGGTTCTCCAATTGGATAGTCCCTTCGCTCCTCTGAGGAGGAATTAAAACTTTGGGGGCCGAGCCTGCGTGATTGGCACGCGATCAGGGATGGAACCCTTCCTTGGCTGCCTTTTGGTGGCGCAGTACGGACGTGGGGAAGGGAGGGAAAAGGAGCTGCCCACCAGTCCTGTTAAGACGCTGGGGGTAGCTGAGAATCGCATCGTATCGACGTTCCTCCTGGCCGCAGCAGTATATATGTGTATGTTTCTAGGAAGGGCTTTCAATCGACCGTGTTCTTGCCTGGTTCAGGAAAGCTTAAAGCAGGGAGAGCCCTGGTGGCCTGTTTTTTTGTTTTTGTTTTCCTTTAATGTGTAATTCTCCTCTTTCGTTTAAATCTTGGGGTGGGGGATGGAAGAGCAGCATTGGGCCTGTTGGGCACTTGTCCACAGGCCTCACAAGCATAGGGGCCCCATACTAATGTGTGTATGTTGTTAACCTTTCAATGCATTTTGTATCATATAAATACAACAACTGTATGGCTTCGTTGTAAGGGCCCCAGTACGCTGCTTTGCTCAGGGCCCATAATGCTCTTAAGAGGGCCCTGAAGAGCAGTAGTAATAACAGCATCTGCTGACTGAGTAGGCAGCTGTAGGCAAGAGGTCAGTACTCTTAAAGTGGCAGCAAGCTTGGGTATCCAGCTTCTGCTTTTCTCTGCTCTTTCAGTGAATAGCGATAGCACTTAGACTTATATACCGCTTTATAGCCCTCTCTAGGCGGTTTACAGAGTCAGCATATTTCCCCCAACAATCTGGGTCCTCATTTTACCCACCTGGGAAGGTTGGAAGACTGAGTCAACCTTGAGCCTGGTGGGATTCGATCTGCCAAATTGCAGTAGGAATAGCTTGCAGTACTGCACTCAACCACTGCGCCACCCGCTGAGGCTCTGAATGGGAGCCTTTGTAAGGAAAAGAGCTGATACAAGCAGCCCTCAACTTGTGCTCACAATTGAGCCCCCCAGTGGGAAATTTGTTTAGTTTTGCCCCTGTTTTGCCACTTTTCTTGCCACATTTCTTAAGTGAATGACTGCAGTTGTTAAATTGCTAACACAGTCGTTGAGCGAATCTGGTTTTCCCCCTTGACTTGCTTGTCAGAAGGTGGCAACTCCGGAGACACTGCAAACGCCATAAATGTGCATCAGTTGTCAAGCATCCGAATGTAAATCACGTGACCAAGGGGATGCTGCCATGGTCATAAGTGTGAAAAATGGTCATCAGTCACCTTTTAAAGTCCTGTTGTAACTTCGAATGGTTGCTAAGCCACAGACTACCTGTAGTTGGTAGAGAGGACCATCCTTTTAAACAGTAGGAACTTCGTACACTTGACTTACCATGGTTCACTGAGTGACCAATATTACAAC